TAGAACAAATACTTCAAAAGTTCATATAGAACCATAAAAGACCTCGAATAGCCACAGCAATCTTGAAAAAGAAGGACAAAGTTGGTGGGATCACAATACTAGATATCAGGTTATACTATAAAGCAACAGCCTGGTACTGGCACAAGAACAGACATATAGACCAGTGGAACAGAACAGAGAACCCAGAAATGGACCCAAGGCAATATGCTCAATTAATATTTGACAAAGGGGGCAAGAGCATACAGTGGAGTAAAGACAGCCTCTTTAATAAATGGTGTTGGGAAAATTGGACAGCTACATGCAAAAAAAATGAAACTAGACCATCAACTTACACCATACACAAAAATAAACTCAAAATGGATAAAAGACTTAAATGTGACCCGTGAATCCATAAACATCCTAGAAGAAAATGTAGGCAACAAAATTTCAACATCATATGGAGCAGGATTTTCACTGATACAATGCCTAAGGCAAGAGAAACAAAGAAAAAAATTAATACATGGGACTACATCAAACTAAAAAGCTTCTGCACAGCAAAAGATACAATCATCAAAATGGAAAGGCAACCCACTGTATGGGAGAACATAATTGCCAATGATATATCAGATAAGGGGTTAATTTCCAAAATATATAGAGTGCTCATACAACTCAACAAAAGGAAGACAAAGAACCCAATCAAAAAATTGGCAGAGGAACTATACAGACACCTCTCCAAATAGGACACACAAATGGCTAAGAGACATATGAAGAAATGCTCAACATCACTAATCATCAGAGAGATGCAAATTAAAAGAACAATGAGGTATCACCTCACACCTGTCAGAATGGCCGCCATCAACAAATCATCAAACAAGTGTTGGCGAGGGTGTGGAGAAAAGGGGACTCTAGTACACTGCTGGTGGGAATGCAGACTGGTGCAGCCACTATAGAAAACAATATGGTGTTACCTCAAAAAATTAAAAATTGAACTTCCATTTGATCCAGTGATCCCGCTTCTAGGAATATACCCTAAGAAGCCTGAAACACCAATCAGAACGAATATATGTACCCCCATGTTCGTAGCAGCACTATTTACAATAGCTAAGATCTGAAAACAGCCCAAATGTCCATCAGTAGACGAATGGATAAAAAAACTGTGGTACATATACACAATGGAGTACTATGCAGCTGTAAGAAAGAAAGATCTCTTATCCTTTGAGATGACATGGAGGGACCTGGAAAGTATTATCCTAAGTGAAACAAGCCAAACCGAGAAAGTCAAATATCACATGATCTCACTTATTTGTGTAATATAATGAAAATAACAGTCTGAGGAACGGGTTAGTTCCAGAGACATGGAAGTGGGGTACAGACTGACAATGGCCGCCATTAACAAATCATCAAACAAGTGTTGGCGAGGGTGTGGAGAAAAGGGGACTCTAGTACACTGCTGGTGGGAATGCAGACTGGTGCAGCCACTATAGAAAACAATATGGTGTTACCTCAAAAAAGAGGGGGTGGGGGGAGAGAGATAAACCACAGAACTTACATGCATGTATGTATGAACAATGGACATGGACAACAAAGGTGGGGACAGGGTGGGGAGGGGGGAATCAGTGGGGGGGAAAAGGAGAAACATCTGTAACAAAAATAAATAAATTAATTAAAAAAAAAAGAAATTGATGGCATTCTTATACACCAATGATGAACTCACAGAAAGAGAGACTGAAAAAAATCCCATTTACCATCACAGCAAAAAAATGAAGACACCTAGGAATAAACTTAACCAAAGAAGTAAAGGACCTATTTGCAGAAAACTACAGGACACTGAAAAAAGAAATAGAGGAAGATATAAAAAAGTAGAAGCACATACCTTGTTCATGGATTGGAAGAATTAACATCATTAAAATGTCCATATTACCCAAAGCAATCTATAGATTCAATGCAATCCCCATCAAATTACCAATCATATATTTTACACAACTAGAACAAATATTTCTAAAGTTCATATGGAACCAAAATAGGCCCTGAATAGCCACAGCAATCTTGAAAAAGAAGGACAAAGTAGGTGGGACCACAATACCAGATATCAGGTTATACTACAAAGCAATAGCCTGGTACTGGCACAACAACAGGCATATAGACCAGTGGAACAGAACAGAGAACCCGGAAATTGACCCAAGACATTATGCTCAATATTTGACAAAGGTGGCAAGAGCATACAATGGACGTGGAAGTAGGGTACAGACTGACAACCCTCCGAAGGGGGGGGATAAACCACAGAACTTATATGCATGTACGCATAACCGATGGCCATGGACAACAAAGCTGGGGTTGGAGTGAGGAGGATGGGGAGGGGGGTGTCATTGGGGAAAAAAGTGGAAACATCTGTAACAAAAATAAATTTCTTCAGCTGGTGACAGAAAAGAACGTCAGAGATTCAAACCATTAGAAGGATTCGATGCACCATTCCTGCCTTAGGATGGAGCGGGCCACTGGCCAGGCACATTGGTAGTCTCTAGAAGCTGAGAGCAGCTCCTGGCTGACAGCCAGCAAGGAAATGGGGCTTTAGTTCCATAGCCAAACTAAACTAAATCCTTCCAACAAAAAGAATGAGGTTGGAAAGCAGATTTTCCCCTAGAGCTTCCAGACAAGAACTCAGCCTGGTCCATACTTTGATTTCAGCTTTGTGGTGCCCTGAGCAGAGAGTCTGTGCTGGACTACTAATTACAGAACGGTGAACTAACAGTTTTAAGGTGCTAGGTTTGTGATGATTTGTTATGCAGCAATAGAAATGAATATAGAGTTCAGCCCTTCTGAGGCCCCACCTGTGAAGGGAGCAAGAAGAACCATGCCTGGGATGTGAGTGACAGTGTGCCCTGGGCAGGGTGTATGGAAGGATCGGGAGAGGTTCTATTCTTCTCCTCAGTTTAAAGTCTCCAAAGTCAGAGTCAAAAACCCATCTCTGTAATTATGATTGTTGTCTAGGGTGAGTAGTGTGAGAAGGGGAAAGGGAACAAGCAATTGTGGCTGTGGTCAAAAGTGACTTTAGTTTTGTCTATAGTTCAATTTTTCATAAGGAGGATATATTAAAGCAGTACTTAAGTAATTAAAAGAATACTTGCTGCCTGGCTGGTGTGGCTTAGTGGATTGAGCATTGTCCCATGGACTGAGAGGTCCCTGGTTCAATTCCTGGTCAGAGCACATGTCCAGGTTTGGGGCTTGGTCCCCAGTAGGGGGCGTGCAGGAGGCAGCCAATCAATGTTTCTCTCTCATCGATATTTCTCTCTCTCTCTCTCTCTAAAATAATCAATGAAAAAATATTTTTAAAAAAAGAATACTTGCTGCCTGGGCCTGGTCTGTGATCCTGTGCCCCATGTCCCAGAGCTCTGAGGGGTGGGAATGAAAGAAACAAACTCTTAATTTCTGCATTTCAGCTCCAAGCCCACAACTTCTCATGCTTTATAACATTGCTGGTTTCTGTTTAGGACTCTTTATTTCTCCTACATATTCCTCCAGCCTCTAGTCACTCTCTCTTTGTGTCAGAAGGTGAAAGGCAAACAGAAAATCTAGGATCAGATCCATCTGGCTGCTTTTTACTGGCTCAGATTTTTTTAAAGTGTGGAAGAGAAGACTGGACCTTTCAAGTTAAATTCTCTTGTTGAGCCATGTGACAGAAATAGTTGAATGTCTCCCCAATATCCCTTCTCTCCTTCTTCCCTATTCTCTTATTCTCTTTAGGTGGGCATTTGGTCAGGTTTTTTTGTTTGTTTGTTTGTTTGTTTATCTGTTTGTTAATCCTCACCCAAGGATATTTTTCAACTAATTTTTTTTTTTTTTTTTTAGATAAAGTGGAAGGGAGGGAAGGAGAGAAAGAGAGAAAGAAACATCAGTGTAAGAGAAACAGATCAATTGGTTGCCTCCCACATGGGTAGGGGATTGGACCTGCAACCAAGGTATGTGCCCTTGACTGGGAATTGAACCACAGACCCTTCATACTGTGGGCTGACACTCTAACTGCTGCACCAAACCGGCCAAGGCCATTTGGTCAGGTTTAAAGACTACATTTTTCAGTTTCCTTTGCAGCTAGGTGTAGCCATATGATACTTTCTGACTCATGGGATAGAAATGGGCAAAAGGTATATGACTTTAACAATGCCCTTGAAGCCCTGGCCAGTTTGGCTCAGCGGTAGAGCATCGGCCCATCGGCCCATCGGCCCATTGGCCATGGAGTCACGGGTTCGATTCCAGCCAAGGGCACATACCTCAGCGGTGGTTTGTCCCCAGCCCTGGTCAGGGTCATGTGGGAGGCAACCAGTCGATGTGTCCCTCTCACGTCAATGTTTCTCTCTCTCCCTCCCACTCTATCTGACGATAAAGAGAAAAATATCCTCGGGTGAGGATTAAACAACAAATGCCCTTGAAGACAGCAGGCATGACCATCTCTTCTTCAGTGGCTGTAAAGACGTGGTTTTAGACTTGATAGCTGGAGCCCAAGCAGCCATATTAAACCGTGAGGAGGAAGCCATGTGCCCACAGCATCTGAAAAGCCTCAAGGTCCTGGCAACCATTCTTATGATGTGTCCTACACCACTTAGCAGATAAGTTCTAATACGTGAGCACTCCAGGTCCGGGTTCACTCAACCTACATATAAATCTACAAAAGAAAAGTTTTGTTATCTCAGATTATAACCCTCTGTAACTTTTCCCAACCACTGGGGAAGCCCAACTCAAATCTTTCCACTGAGAAGTACAAAACAGCTTTTCTTCCCAATAACCTATACTATTGGTCCAAGCAGCAAAACATCAAAAGAGGCTGGCATTTCATTAGTATCATCCAGGTCAATGTCACCACTCAGGAAGGTGATATGAAGTCCCCACTCTCAAGTTCTTATTCCAGAGAGGCTCATGGATTTACTGCTCATCTAGACAGATATGTTTCTCCCTTACCACTAAATACCCAATCAGCTCCAATCCAGGCTTTGCTGCAACTTATCGTAACCACACATGGGGCGCTTTACCTGCCATGACCTCAGGTGACTGGAAGAACTCATCTGGGTGTATGTAGCCTGTCTGTGGAAGGAGACACCACACCAGGCGGAGCAGGCTGAGGCTGCCCCACAGCACCCTGGATGCCATCTTCAGATCAAATTGCTGCCAAGAGCCTAGAAATACTTCTCAGCTACTGCAGATGCCATTCTGGATCCACAGATCTGCATCTGCTAAGGATAACATTTGTTAGTTGTATAATGTAAATTATAATGTTCAATCATCTGAACAAACTCAAAAGGGATCTATGTACAATTAAAACGATGATAACAGCTGCTATCTACTAAGGGTCTGTTAAGTGCCAGAAAGATTACATGCATATCTCATTTAATCCTATCCACAGTCTGGGACAGTGGGTCTCACTATCTCCATTTTACAGATAGGGAAACTGAGACGTCTGTTGAGTAACCTGGTTACTTGCTAATCATATTTGCTAAGTGTCTAAATATAACATTTGCAAAATAGGATTAGGGTACCCTCCAAATCTGGGTCTGAAAGCTGCATTCCTGTTCACAGTTCCTATCCATAGGCAAGCATGGCAGCCTCTCTTAGAATTCTAAAAACTTAGGAACCCTCAGTGGATATCATCCAATTCTCTGCAAAAATGCAATACATTCCACTCCATCGTCTCCCGTCACTCCCTCCAACTTTCACACATCCTGGAGCCTACCTTTTAGAAAGTGATGGGAACTTACTGCTAGGGTCTGAATGTCTATGTCTCTCCTCTCGCATTAGTATGTTAAAATCCTAAAGCCTTATGTAATGGTATTAGAAAGTGGGGCCTTTGGGAGGGAACTAGGTCACAGAAGGGGAGCCCTCATGAATGAGATGGTGTTTTTATAAATGAGCCTCCACAGTGTTTCCTCGCCTCGCCCACCTTGTGAGTACACAGCCCGAAGCCACTAGTAATGAAGCAAGAAGAGGTCCTTCATACTGCTGCTTTGATCTTGGGCTTCCCACCCTGAAGAACTGTGAGGAGTAATTTCTCTTATTTATAAGCACCCAGCCCAAACAGACTAAGAACTTACTTATATAACACCTCCTGATGGGGATTCTTACTTCCTTGATTCAAAGAGTAACTGGAGTCTGAGCCCACTGCTTAGTGGACCTATATATCAGCACCCATATATCATCACTGGTGAACAGAAAAACAAGTTTGACAGTGAGTTTATCACTTCTTCAGAAATACTTATGATGACTTTCCTGACTTCTTGACTTTGATGTTTTAAAACCTGACCTTAAACAACTATTGTTCTCAGGTGTGATATATCATAACAAAAGAAACTAGGCATGGGGCGGGGGGACATCTGTAACAAAAATAAATTAATAAAAATTGAAAAAAAAAATGACAAAGTGAAGCAACAGAACAGGAATCTGGCATATGTTGACAACGATCCTCTTGAGACCAAGGATGAAAAAGGGGTACTGTAATAAATTACAAATTCCTGTCCATTGTTCTTGTGCATCTAGGTTAACACACCTTTGAAATGTCAGGAGCTACCCCTCCAAGGTGTAACCACCCTCAAGGGAGCACATAATGTTTTTGTTTGTTTGTTTGTTTTCTGCCTTGCTAAAGCAAGGCCACCAAAAATTTAGTTGCCTCCCACATGAAAAAAATGGGAGAGGGAATATCACATAATGTTGTTAACTGTCCTGTAATCCAATCCCCACCTTGCTTTCTCCCATCTTCATTTAATCTTCCTTTAATTTCCTTCTTAATTCCAAATGCATAAAAGAAACTGCTAACTGTCATTTCTCTGGAGCATCTTACTTTTCTCCAATTGTCATCATTTTGACTCAAATAAAATCATATAAAAGTTATTTACAGATTTAGCCCTGGCTGGTGTGGCTCAACTGGTTGGGTGTTATCCTGTTCACTGAAAGGTTGCTCATTGGATTCCTTGTCTGGGCACATGCTCAGTTTTAAGGCTCCAGCCCTGGTGGGGGGCATGCAGGAGGCAGCCAATTGATGTGTCGCTTTCACATCAATGTTTCTCTCTCTCTCTCTAAAAAAATCAATAAAAATATTTTTAAAAATTCTTTACAGATTTGGACATTTCTTATGTTGACAATATTCACTAAAACCTCATAGAACTTAGAAGATACATTTTGTAGCCTTTGCTTGAACTTTCCAACTGAATTGTACAGATTGTCTTTCCAGAGCCCATGGATATTCTGACTTTCAGAGTAGAGTTTTCAGATAGAAGATAAGGCCAGACTCAGTTCTGGAATGCAAAGATTGAATCACAATACTTTTTTTCATTGGCAGCCAATTATAATACTGCGGGACAGGGTTGGGAGAACGGGAGGTAGGAACAAGGGCAAGGGCAAACACTACATCTATCATAGAGGTATAAAATTTGGGGTTCTACAGGCCTGGTTCAAATCCCAACTCTGCCATTATTAGTTGTGTTACCTTGGGCCAGCTACTTATATCCCTAAACCTCATGGGCTTGAGGGAGAATTAAAGAGATGGTGCATGGAGGGCACAGAGCTTGCATGTATAAGTGATCATTCTGAGGTTGCTATTTCTACTTGTAGTGGAGGCACAAATGATACAATCCTGGCTACTTCAGATACTCTAGGAGATTCTGAAAGAAGCACTTCCACTGGCTAATAAAATAAACAGGATTAGGTTAGTCCAATTGTTAGTGTAGGTAGCTACTTAGTTAAGGAAGAGAGCAAATGAATTGAACATTAAGCCCGATTCATTAGGGAGCTGAATCAGACAGGAGCCTGATTCACGAGGAAGCCATAGCATTCACAGGCTCACCAGGGGACAGCCTCATCCTCCACTGAGGGGACTTAATCCCCTAACGGGGCAGGAAGAATCGGCTACTGGTCATTAGCCAGGATTACCGAAGGAAGGATAAAAACAGCAGGGGAGCCCGGCCAGTGTAGCTCATTGGATTAAGCAGTGTCCCATGGACCAAGAGGCCTGGGTTCAATTCTGGTCAGGGCACATGCCTGGGTTGCGGGCTCGATCTCCAGTGGGGTCAGTGCATGAGGCAGCCAATCAATGTTTTTTTTTCTCTCTTCCTTCCTCTCTCTCTCAAGAAAACAAAACAAAACAATGAAAACATTAAACACACACACAACGGCAGGAGAAATTCCTTTGCTAGGTGCATGCCCAGTAGAAACCAAGACAGTGCATTTGCAGGTAAGCACATGTGCAGTAGAAACTATAAGACACAGCAGAACTTGGGGCATGCACAGTAGGAGCCAAAATAGTGACATAAAGGGGTGGAGTCTAGTCTGGGAAAAACAAAAAGGTCTGGGCCACCTGCCACTACTTGAGCCAATCAAGTAGAGACAAGGTTGAATCGCATGTTAGCGTTTATTCCAATATTGCCGGCGATATGAGAGAGCAGCCAGGCCATCCTGCAAAAATCTGCTCTCACCTCCCTTGTTAGCCAGTTGCTTAAATGGGATAGAAGGATGAAGACTACATGAGAAAGGGCAGATAGGTGAAAGGGGAAAAAAATGGGTAAAGTGGTTACAGGCAATTACAGTCACGGGGAAGGAATGAGGGCTGGGGATTGCAAAAGGTGGTCACCAGTGTGCCTCCGGGGTTCCAATACTCTGATAACCAGGCTGTTAATCTTTCCATGATGCCAAGCAGTTTCCCCTTATTCTTAGTTTAGGAGAGTGGACAGCATTCCCGAGGTACACTCCCAGGGAGTACAGCTCCCAGCCAGGTCAGAATGGGCTTTCTTTTTTTTTAATCCTCACCCGAGGACATTTATGCATGTATCTTCAGATAGAGTGGGAGGGAGAGGGGGGGGAGAGAGAGAGAGAAACATCAATGTGAGAGAGACACATAGAGTGGTTGCCACCCACACGACCCCAACCGGGGCTGGGGACAAACCACAACCGAGGGATGTGCCCTTAGTGGGAACCCAACCCCGGACTCTCCAGTCCAAGGTCTCATGCTCTAACTACTGAGCCAAACTGGTCAGGGCCAGAATGGGCTTTCTTTAATCAGAACAAAGCAATCACAATAAACAGAGCAAGGATGATTAACATTTCTTTCTTTTTTTTTTCTTTTTTCCTCATTTGAGGACATTTTTCCATTTTTTGCACAGACAGAGTGGGAGGGAAAGAGAGGAAGAGAGAGAGAGGGAAACATCGATGTGAAAGGGACACATCGAGTGGCTGCCACCCGCACGACCAACCAGGGCCGGGGACAAACTGCAACCGAGGTACATGCCCTTAGCGGGAACCGAACCCGAGTCTCTCCGGACCACAGGTGGATGCTCTAACCGCTGAGCCAAACCGGCCAGGGCTCTTTTTTATTTATTTATTTATTTTTAGAGAGAGAGGAAGGGAATGGGAGAGAAAGAAGAAACATCGATGAGAGAGAACATTGATTGGCCTACATGCCCCAACCTGTGGGGATTTGGCCCACAACCTGGGCAAGTTCCCTGGTGACCTTTTGGTGCATGGGTCGATACTCAACCACTGAGCCACACCATCTGGGCATCATTTCTTATAACTATGGCTAGTACCCCGCTATGATTAGTTTTCTATTATTCTCTACCATCCATTTCAGAATTAGATTGGATAATGGTGTGAAACCCCAGAAGGTCCAGGAAAGGGATTAGGAGGGCCCAGCACAAGTCTGGGAAAACCCAGGAAGGAGGTTTCATAGTTTGAAAGAAAGCCTGGCCCTGGCCGGTTTGGCTCAGTGGTAGAGCGTCTGCCTGTGGTCCAGAGAGACTCGGGTTCAGTTCCCGCTAAGGGCATGTACCTCGGTTGCAGTTTGTCCCCAGCCCTGGTTCGTTGTGCGGGTGGCAGCCACTCAATGTCCCTTTCACGACGATGTTTCTCTCTCTCTCCCGCCCCACTCTATCTGAACAAAAAATGGAAAAATGTCCTCGGGTGAGGATAAAAAGAAAGCCTGCTCCTTCCCCCAAACCAACAAAGTATGTAGAGGATTATCAGAGATCTCAGGGCAGTTGCAGTTAGAGCCTGCCTGCCCTCTACATCCCTGGGGGGTATTATTTCCCTTTACCCCAATAAATCTTGCCACTATGCTTAAACTTCTCCCAACCATGTGCCCTTTGAAATTCCTTTTTCATGACACTGCAAGAACCCATTTTCATCGGCAACACAATTGCCTAGATACATTTACACATGTGTTTCAAGCCCTTCTCTGAGAACTGAACTT